GGCTGTTCGAAATCAAGGGGGCACAGGTCTTGATCTTCTACCTCTATGTTTTTCTTGAGGTGGAATAACGTGGCTAAGTCTGCATCTTCTTTTGCTTTCAGATGGAGGGGTGGGATTCCTGTTAATACACAGAGTGCTGCGGTTCAGGTAGTTCTGTATGCTTTTGCTAATTGTAAGAGGAAGCCGCGTTGGATCGAAGCTAAGAGTGTTTTCTTTTTCACTGTCATAGGGTGAGTCCATGCCGATGCCCCGTAGAGGATTATTTTTTCGATCACGGTAGCAACAGGTAGACAAAACATCTGCTGGTAAAGACAATAAATAGACGGGAAAAATTATACTAATTGAAAATATAAAGCAAAACGTTCTCAGAAATGGTGGCGCAGACATGATAATAAATCGAGCAACTTTAAAAGAATTAATGAGGTACTATTAGTTTCTACAGGAGCTTGTTTTTATTTCCTATTAAATACAATATCCATTTCCATTACTTCTTTTAAAAACATCATTTATTACAATTTTTTTATGTCTATCTATGGTTAAATATTTGTAAAATAAAAACGAATTATTTTGCTAAAGTCTATAAGCGGTTATTGACCTTGAACAAAGCTCATATCGCCTAAATGTACGTGTGTTAGAGAAGAAACTTAAGCAGGATGTTGGGGTATTTAATTTTCGAATTTAATAGCAAAAATACTTTGTTTTTTTGCGTACCACCGGTTGAGAATTGGTGTTCTAAAGAATTTACAGAATTTCGTTAAACTCCTTGCTCAACGTTTATTTTCGCAACCCTTGATCGCACACACGTACTTCCAGTCACAAAATTGTTTTAAATAATACAAATATTACGGTATTTTTAAATTTTAAAAATATATTTTGTAAAAAATATGAAATATAGCATTTTACAAGATCTCCCAGTCCATGTAGTTATAATTTTCAGTGAATGTTTACTCTTCTAAAAATGAAAGTGAGAAAACGCCATCTGCCCGTAAGAGAAAAGTTGACCACAATATTTAATTTCAAAATCTAGAATTTTTCAGATTTTTCACTGCCAGGAAGTCCTTTTCTCTTTTTCCCTTTTCCTTAAGGTGGCGGTTAAAAACTAAATTAGAATAGTTTTGAGGTTGACTTTTTTCTGCTATTAATGTCATTCACTGTTATTCTTATGTGATTTTGATATTCCGAAAGCATTTTCACTCAATTATGAGTTTTCAAATGCTAAAAATACATTAATGACATTCACATGCAGGTGTATTATTTTAGGATCATAACCTAAACACTCATTAAAAAAAACTGGACTTGAAATACTTCTCATTTTTTTATTTATGCAAATAATGATATGAGTTGGCTATATGCCAATACTGAAGCCTGCGAATGTTTTTCAGGTCACGAAATCATACAGATTCTGCGAATAAGATGTCTTTTTTTTTCCCCAAAAAACATTATACTGATAAGAATGTTTTGCAGCAATATTCACAGTAGAGTTCGTCATTCAAACTATTTAGTATCAGAAACTTTTTTTCTATATTGCTGTTTCATTTTTTGTTGCGTACAAATTTACATATTTCGCTCTTCGAATGAGGTGCGATGTACAGAAAACATGATAACAAAATTTAAATTTAAACACACTGGTCAATTTTTGTGTACGGAGTCAAACATTCATAGTTCGTTCTTTTAGAATTAGTATGAACTTTTACTAGATATAATTTATATAGACCGGGAAACCGTATAAACCGTATAAAAAGTTGGATTTCGTATTATTTACGAAACTGACTAATTTATAATTGCCATAATGTGAATCTTTCCCTTATTTAAAGGGATTTTATAGTTGAAAGTATGTGTCTAAAACCAATGACTGTGAAACTAAAAGCCGCTAAAGAACTTTTATGGCCATGCTGTATATAGGCATTTATTTGTTCTTTTAATGAATTCTGTTTAATAAAATTGTGTGGTGAAAGAATATCAAAATGTCTTTTGATCATGTTTACAACTTAGGCTTTTTGAAACAATTATACCAATCATTATTAATGGCCATTTTTTATCACTTTATATATATACATATATATATATATATATTTTAAATCTCAAAATCTATTAAATGAACAAAAATAGTACTAACTGTCTTACCATGCTAGACTAAATCACTGGGTTAAAAATTCTACAACGCCGAATATCAAAGTCTTCGTACATACAGCGATATAATACAATATTACATGAAATAAAATTCAATTTAATAAGGAAAATCAATATTAACTCATATAGAGAAACAATTTCACGTCATCCAGTGAGACCAAAGCCTTGAGACAAAGCTCTCAAGACAAAGCCTTGAGAGGGTTTCAAATAATCGTTGAATTTAATCGGAACTTTTAACATAAAAGTCACGACTTGTGCTGCAGACAAAATCCACTGCTTATGGAATCGTAAATGCTGGCAATGCAAATTAAACTGGTAAATGCAGGCACTGTACTTTTTAATGCAGTTTTAATTAAACAATAACAGCCAAATTAAATTAAACAATAACAGTAAAAGAAATTTAAACGCTGATAATGTAGTCAAACACTACGCATTCAATGATATAAACAACAATCTGGCTAAATTACTTTTACCGGCGCGTAAGTAAGATTCGAAATTCTGGTAAAAAAATAACTAAGATAATCTAAGATTTAAAATCCTCAGCTTATACACTATACTCTACATACTTATTTAACAAAACAAAAAATAAATAAATAAATAAAAATAAAAATTTTAAAAAAATTAAAAAAAAAAAAAAACCGCATAATTGCACACACACACATAAAAAAGGAACTCATTATTATGCTACGTATGGAGATGTTTGCTCCAATCTTTAGAAAAATTCGATTACATGAATAACTATTTCTTTCACAAAAAGCATTCAGATTCTTTTGTTATTTATTATAAAGTTGGTGGATTTACTGAGAAATATGTAAAGCCCACTAGGGCTATTTGCCTAAGGAGAGGGATGCCTTCGTGGAGGACTTTTTGTGGGAAACTGGCTTATACACACGTTACACATGGGAAAAAACACAAAAACGCCCATGCAGGCAGCCCGTTCGCCTGGAATTGAAACCAAATTGGAAGTACTAATGTTCAGAGACTTTACCGCTCGGCCGCTGGTGGGCTGTAAAGAAGACAGATTTTTCAACTACTGAAATATAATATTAAGGCTTAGCAATTTGTGTTTTAAGCATAAATTTAATAAGAATGATAAAAAGTTATTTTGCAATGATTAGCTTATTACAATAACATTAAGTATAATGAGAAAATTTTATTCGAATAAATTTTCTATTGAAGGTTGAAAAATGCATAGAAAATGTTGCTTTAGAATTCAAGAAAAAAACTGTCTGCTTTTTGGAAAGACTTTTTAACTAGGTTTTAAAAACATAAAAAATGCGTTTCTGTTTACTGAGATTTCAGAGTTGCATGAGAGGGAACATTTAACTAAATTGCGATGCACTGGAAAAACAGTTTGGATTTAAAACGTTTTGACAGATTTTTAACAAAATTAATTGTCTGATGAATCTATTCATATTCAATTATTTTAATTATTCAGCTTCAGCTAAGTCTTCTGTTGTCCAAAAAGTTTTCGGCTTAGAATATTCCGTCACATTTCCCGAGTTCAGCATTCTTTTCACTTAAGATTTTAAAGCAATTTGCCTCAAAATATGTTCCGATTTGAAATTTTGATAAATAACTAAATATTTCATCTTTGATCTATTACTATCAATGACCTTTTTTTAATTTACTTCCTAATAACGTACAACCTGCTTTAACTAACCGCAGATTTGCCGAATGATCAAGCTGCATTGCCTTTTGAGTTATAGGAATTCTAAAACTAAGATGCCAGACAGATTCAATACTTCTGGGAGTAGGATTTTAAACCTCAGCATTAGCAAAGCAATTCACATGAAAATATTGGTGTCCTTTTTCTGCTGTTTTTTCTGTAATATCATCATGTTTTACGACTGCTGTGGTCATTATATAATAGTTATCACACTATCATTACACTTCCACATGCCTCGACGTACTAGAGCGGATGTTATTTTGTTGGCGTACTGTCTCTTATCGCACAAGACAATATTACGATATGGATGAGTAGAATCTGGTATAAAATGAAGTACGGTGAACTCTTCCTGAGAAGATCACCGACGGTTTTAAATGATTCAGGTCATCTGTGAAAATAACCACTTTACAAAATCATAACATTCAATGATGCTCTCTTCCATTGTTTAATTCAGTTATCAAAAGTGCCGTTCACTTTTAAATATTGTCTTCTCAGAACGAGGTCAGAGATTTTTCTGCATTATTTTCAGAAAAATTATATTTCGTTTCATTCCAGCTAAGATCTTACTCTTTAACCAGTTAGTTCACAACACAGTTCAACTTCTCTAATGAATTCACAGATCGTCGTATCACACCTGGAATACGGTTTAAACAATTTTCCCAACCTGAAAACAGTTTTTGAAATCCAACACTGATTACTAAATTCAGCAGATAATGTAGGCTACAAAACTTGTAATGTTTTTTCCTGAAGATGAGGATCAAGACGTTATCATCTATATGAATCATTTCTTTTATAAATCCTTTATATTGAAAGATGAAATGTTGACATAAAATTAAATAATTCTGCATGTATTGCAATATGAAATTATTTAAGTGAACTCATTAGGGGGTATCAGTGAACAACAGCGGGTATCAGGGCACTGCAGCCCATGGCTTTCTAAGGGCTGTTTGTGTCGCCGAGTTTAGTTTAGTTTAGTTAGTGTTTTAAAAATGCTTAAGGATATGCTATGCCAATAAAAAGAACAGGAAAATCATCATCTGCAAACTTATTCTTTTCCCAATCAAATGCTTTCAACTTCATATGTTAAATCGGTAATGTATCAATGACCTTAATTTAACGGTCATTTCCATTGGCCTTAATTTGATAAATAATTGCAAATAAAGGAATGTATTTCATTATAATAGTTATTAGACAAACTCACCTGAGATAATGGACAGCTTTTAGTTTCATTTGTACCTGTATGGTTCAAATTTTGAGCTGACTGAGTGGACTGACTGCTAAATGCTTTAGAGGATATTGTCACCTGTAAAATACACAAAATTAAATGCAAGCAATAAAATTTACATACTGAAATATTAACTTAAAAAATCTGATGTGCACACCAAATGACTTCCTTGTACGGCCTATTAAGTTATACACATTTTTTGCTGCACTTCATTCAAAATTCTTTCCTCGAATTATTCTAACTTAATTGACCGATCCCTCAAGGGAAGTCGAATATGACATCAAAAACTGCAAATTTTGAAATTAAATATCCCAATCAGTTTTTGGCGTACGGCATTCGAACTTCTTATAATTTTATTTTTATTATAGCGTTTATGAACGTATAAATAAAGATTTTAACATAAACATAACGATTATAAAATTTCCTCAGAGTAAGTATAGGAATTCAGAAACAGCATTAAAAGTTAGATTTCCTTATTTGTCGAAAATAACTTTTTTTTTTAAATTTGACATTGTCAAAACATGAATATTTTTTGTCATTCAAAATACTTCTTTAACTGAGATTATATGACTATGACTAATCATTGCAAATATGTGTGTGTAAACATATAAATACTATACACACATACACACCCATACGCTTGGTATTGCTGATTGCAATAAAAAAGAGAGGTACACAACTGCATGTTATAGCAGTTGCATATACAAAATTTCAACCTTCTAAGGCTACGCGTTTTTGAGTTATGTGAGATACATACATACGTACGTACATACGGATGTCACGAGAAACTCCCTTTTGAATTCCTTTTCAATACATTTTCAATGCATTTTGGATAATAAAGTCCTTTACAGTCTCCATAGGTACATACATGAAGCTCCCCCCCCCTCCGAAAAAAAATCAAATCGTGCGAATGAATTCGGGAAGGGTCAAAGTAGATCTTTCCGTTGAAATATGATACTCAAAAATTTTCGCGAATTACAATATTTCCTTTATTTTTTACAAAGAAGTATAAAAAGTTTAAATTTGAATTCAATTCTCCGCCAAAATTAATTATCAGATATATCGATGCTATTACCCTTCCACTTACTTTAACAGTAAATTCATCAAGAAAAGAGGGGTGTCCGCCGACAACATCGCGGACGAAAACGTCGCGGAGAAAACAACGCAAGGCGAAAAACGTCGTGCTACAAAACATCGTGGAAGAAAACATCGTAAAGGGAAAACATCGCAATTTTAAAACATCGTGGTACAAAACATCGTTGTCGAAAATAAAGCGGTTAAAAAACTTCGCAGTTTAAAAACATCGTCGTCGAAAATATCGTGGTAAAAAATAAAGTATCTACAAATCATCGCATGACGGTAACAATCGCAGACATGCTTTTTCAGGTTTTAATAATTGTAAATGGATATTCCATAATGATTTGTGAGCGGAAGATGTAAAGAAGGGACACTTTTTTTCACATTTTTTTTATTAACTAATAAATTTTGCTGAAAAAGTAAGAAGGAAACTTGAGCACAGAAATTAAATGCAACTGATAGATTATACTTTTCATGAAAAATTACCTGTAAAAAGTTTATAAAAAATTATTATTAATGACCTTTTTTAGTTAACTTAGTCGGTTTAAAATTCTATTAAGTGCTATAAGTTGCATTAATTTTCTGTGCTTAAACTTCCTTCTTATTTTCTCAGCAAAAAATTATTAGTTAATAAAAATATGAAAGTAAAAATTATCCTTCTTTCCATCTTGCGCTCACAAATCATTATGTGAAATGGAATATTCATTTACAGTTATTAAAGCCTGAAAAAAGCATATATGCGATGTTATCGTCATGCGATGATTTGTAGATAATTTATTTTTTACCACGATATTTTCGACGACGATGTTTTTAAACTGCGAAGTTTTTGAACCGCTTTATTTTCGAGGAATGATTTTGTACCACGATGTTTTCTCCCACGATGTTTTGAAGCAAGTCGTTTTCGCCTTGCGTTGTTTTCTCCGCGACGTTTTCGTCCGCGATGTTTTCGGCTGTAACCAAACGAGGAGGTTCGAATCCTGCGTACGGGCTGGCTGCATGGGCGTTTCCATGGTTTTCCCCATGTGCAACGTGTATACGAGTCAGTTCTCTTAGAACGTCCTCCAAGAAGGCATCCCTCCCCTTAGATAGAAAGCCATAGTGTGCTTTGCCATAATTAAATAAACCAAACCCTGTAGAAAAGAGAAGAACATGGTTATTTGCTGTGCCCGCAAGCTGGTATCACCTTTGACTTTTTTACTTCCTTGTACCCCTCAGGGGAAGTTATTGGCTATATTTAGTGCTCGATTGCGAAAAATTGAAAAAGTATTGTATTTGTGATAAAAGTTATTTTGGAAAGCCAATAAGAAAAACTTCCCAGGAGTTTGGTACCTTGTCGTGGTCTGAGGGCTCCTCCTCCTAAGGGAGGAGGTCGAAATCCAAACTCCAAAGAAATTCAATTGGGGAAACCCCAGGGTCCCAATTGATATAGATCAAAAATGGATAAATTTGTACAGACAGTGACTGTTCCTGAAAATGAACTGATAGAAGAAGCTAGATCACTAATTAGTGACATTGAAACTTGTTTGGAAGAGGCAACTAGAGTAACAGTTCCTCTAAGAAAGAAAGTTTTTAAAGCGCAAGAAGCGCTATTTAATTTTATAGTCTCTCAAGCGTTGGAAATTGAAAACTTAAAGGGAAGATTGGATGTAGTTCAGAAACTACAGATAGAGAAGTCATTTGCAGACATTATTAAAGAACAGAAGATGGAGAAAAAGGTTGTATCAAAGAAAGATAAAATTAAGAGGAAAAGATGAACATGTGGCTCTTATTTATCCAAAGTGAAGGAGTGTCTTCAGAAGAAGTGAAGATGAAAGTTGTGAAGCTATTGATCCTGTAAAGTTAAAAATAGGGATTAGAAATGTAGAAAAATAAATAATGGTGGAATTGTTATTGAGTGCTTAAATCATGAAGAAATTGATAAATTAGAAGAGGAAATTAAAACAAATGAATTGTTAAAAGAAGATATTGAAGTTAGAGCTCCGATTAAGAAAAATCCGAAAATTATATTATACAATATTGATTATGGAAAGTTGGAAAAGAAGGAACTACAGGAAGCTGTTATTAAGCAAAATCCTATATTTGAAGATGGTGGTTTTATTCCACTATTTCGGATAAAAGGAAAGAATAATAAGGCTCATTGGGTGGTAGAAATCCAACCTAATAAATTTAAGAAATATTATTAATCAAGGAAAAGATTCAATTTTAACTGGTTTCGTATAAATGTTAAAGAATATTTGAATGTAGTGAGATGCTACAAATGTTCAGGAATTTGGGTCATTTTTCACAAAAGATGTACTAAAGATTCAATATGTGCTAATTGTGCACAAAAAGGACATAATCACTGGGATTGTAAAAACAGTCCAGTATGTATAAATTGTACTAATGTGAATAACAAGTATAAAATGGGGTTAGACGTGCGGCATTCTAGTTTGGATAAAGATTGTTCATGCTTAAAGAGACAATATGATTTATTAATCAGAAGGACAAATTATGGTTTTTAGTTCTTCTTTGAAAATTAGAGGAGTTCAAATTAATCTTCACCATGCTCGTGCCGCTGTGTCTCAACTCCAACAAAGAACATTTGAACAAAATTATTCATTTGCTATGGTGCATATTAATAATAAGGTTAAAGGCTTTTCATCTCAATATAGACAATTTTTTGCTGATAATGATACTCCGTTAGCAGGAATAGTCATATTTGATAAAACAATTTCTGTGATTGAAATTTTGATTTCCAATGTTCTAGTTGTTTTGAAAATTAATTTTGGAGATCGGGATTTGTTGTTGATTTCTGCTTATTGTTCTCCTAAAGCAGATTTGATTTCCTCCTTGAATGAAATATCAAGAATTTTGAATAAAGATTTATGTAATGAATTTGTTACATAAATCTTTATTCAAAATTGCAATTCTTTATTTGGTGCAGATTTTAATGCTAAAAGTGATGTTTGGGGAGATCAAGAAGAAGATATTAGAGGAAAACAAGTACTGGAATTTATTAATGTACATGGGATTTGTATTTTGAATAATCCAGATTCTCCTCCTACTTTCGAAGGAGCAAGAGGTTCCTCTTGGATTGATTTCACTCTCGCGCGTTCTTCTATAAATATTGACTGGAAAGTTATTACAGATATTTCTTGTAGTGATCATAATTATATAGAAATTGATCTTGGTGATAAGGATTTTTCTCCTGTGAAGAGAAAGAGATTTTCATTAAAAAATTTAAATTGGATTGATTTTAAAAGAGATGTTTCTGCTCTTTTGTTGCAATATAATAAAATGAAAATTGATGGAAACAATTTGGAAGTAATAGTTGAAGGGTTCACTGATGAAATTGTAAATATTTGTGAAAAGAATAGAATTAAAAAGAAGTTTAAAACAAAAGGGTCCTCTGTTTGGTGGACTAAGAAATTGGATCTTTTGAGGTCTAAAGTCAGGATTGCAAGAAGAAAATTTCTTAATGCTTTAATTTGGAAGATAAAATGTTCTTAGAGGATAAATATAAGAAAATAAGAGGAATCTACAAGAAAGAAATTAACATTGCTAAAAATCAATCGTGGGATGATTTATGTATGAAAACTAATTTAGATCAACCATATGGCATTCCTTATAAAATTACTATGGGAAAGTGTAAATCTGCACTTACTTTAAATCGGTTAAAAAAAAAAAAAAAAAAAAAAAAAGATGATGGCTCTGAAACAAATTCAATAAAAGATACATTGGAATATTTGGTTAAATTCCATTTTCCGGACGATCTGATTGAAGATGACTTGGAATGGCATAAAGAAATAAGACAAAACTTTCAGACTTATGAAAATGAATTTAATGATTTAGAATTTACAGAAGATGAAATTTTGAATGTGGTAGGGTCTATGAATAAAGGAAAAGCTCCAGGTTATGATGGTCTATGTTTAGACATAATTGAAGAAATAATAAAAATTGATTCTTGTTTAATTTGTAAAATTTATAATATTTGTTTGAAATTTGGTATTTTTCCTAAGATT